ATCGCATACCACTCTAGGGCTAACGCCTAGTGGTCGTGTGCATGAAGATGCTCCAATATCACTTGAAGAAGAATCCTCCAAACTATGTTGGATTTCCTCCAAGTTGCCTTGATGTGCTTCTATGAATTTCCTTGAAGAAGAATCCTCCAAACTATGTTGGATTTCCTCCAAGTTGCCTTGATGTGCTTCTATGAATTTCTATAAATTGTAAGCACTATCAAAATGAACAGTTGCCTTGATGTGCTTCTATGAATTTCTATAAATTGTAAGCACTATCAAAATGAACAAACTTGTTAGACATAGATGAATCAAAAGAATTTAGCAAATATTCTAACAAAATAATGTTCATTGTAAACATTCGATGATCATTTTTATTCCACTTGGATTTCTCTATAGTTTGCACAATATAAGCTTCATCTATAATTTCCCATAAACCAGAATGTTTAGATCCAACAAATAGCTTAAATCTAATACACCATTGGGCATAAGAGAAATTATCCAAACAATAAGCAATATTAATAGCATAACCTAAACTAGATGCACCATGCATATCCATAATGTATATATGCAAGCAAGACAAATGCAACCAAAACAAGATTAGCATAAAAAGATAACTTGGATCTTTAACTCAAGGCGATTAGACCTTAAATCAAAGAGCACCAAGCTCTGATACTAATTGTTAGACACTAGAGGGGGGTGATTAGGGTCTTATGCTAATCTATTCTAATTTTATGTAAATTAAAACTAATTCAAATATTATTCTTGAAAGATAGATATATAATATGTTATAAGCAAGAATAAGCAATATGAACAAGGAGAAATATCCTAGCAATGAGATATACAATGAGATATATGCAAGGATATGAAACTAACTCAAGGGTAAACAATCTAAACTAGATAATGAGCAATATAAACAAAGAGATAAAGGCATAATAAGATGAACAAAAATAAGTGCGCCAATGCAAACTCAAACACATGATATGTTTACGGAGTTCGGTCCCCACGACCTACGTCTCTGTTTCTCACCTCGAGGAGATATCTACTATCACAACCGAGTTTTCTACGCTCACTCGAATAACGTTTACACCTCACAATACAGTTTTCTAGCTAACCGAAAACTTCACAACTTACACAATTGATCTCCACGAGATCACACTCACAATTAGGCACGAATACAACAAATTTGTTCTCTACAATAGATAAGAACTCAATGTAGGCTCACACTCAATGTCACAATCCCACACCCCAAATAATACTATGAATGTAAATACAATAAACTCAAGTGGGTGTGTGTAACAATGAGATTAATCAAATCTAAACTCAATATAAAACTAGCTTTAATAAAATGATAATCAAACAAATAGATATAAAGCTAGAAAAGAGTTTAGGGAAACTTCTCTATAGATCAAGAGAGAGAGAGAGAATAGTTGGAAGCTCAAATTTTAATAGATGATCTCCTCAAGCTCTTGTGGAATTGATTTCACAAAATCAAACTCTCAATTGCTTAAAAGCTTTTTAAACACACTTAAACAAACTTTAAACCCTTGTTAAAACTTTCTTAAACTTCTTTAAAACATTCTCTTAGATTCTTCTGAAGGATGAGAGCAATGGGGTACATATAGCCACCCAAAACCTAAGCCAAAAATCCCAAGCAAAAGACCAAAAAGCCCACAGAATCAAAAATCAGATTCTGTACAAATTATAGCCGTTGGGCGATCGACGGTCGACCGTGAAAAACACGCGGTCGACCGTGAGCAGCTCAGAGGCAAATTCTGGGTTCAGAAAAACATCCGGTCGACCGCAAAACTCTCTGGACTTAATCCGGTCGACCGCCACGGTCGACCGCCACGGAACCAAAAAAATACATTCTGAGTCTCTGGACTCAAGACGGTCGACCGTGGCGGTCGATCGCAAAACTCTCTGGACTTAATCCGGTCGACCACCATGGTCGACCACGAGCCAAAATAAACATTCTGAGTCTCTGGACTCAAGGCGGTCGACCGCGAACAGATATATAAAATTTCCATGTTTGAAACAGTTTTTATGATTTTAAAACCCTGTTTAAAAATATCAAATAAATTCTAAAAATTATAAAACTTTGGAAAATGATTATAGGCATGATAATAAATATGCTACAAAAACTGGTTTTCAATAAGAACCTCCCAAATGTAAAATATCACCATTTTGCAAATATGTCCAAAACATGAAAATGGAAACATATGCATTTTGACATTTTGGCTAAACCATGTTTTGAAACTTTACAAAATGATTTTGTAGACTTAATAAAATATTTATATGATTATTTTTAAGTACAAAAACTGAGAATACAATATTTTCACAAAATTTCATATTTTGCAAACATTTCAAAAGTAAATATGATTTCATTGAACTAAATAAAATTGATATTGATGAAATCATATATATGCATGTAAGTATGAAACAAAAATATATTTTCTAATTATATTCAATTATTTCATATTAAAACTTGAAAACTATCAAACAAAAACATATATGTATATATATAACTATATATATATACAAAACCAAAACGTGTATGTGTGTATATGATTGAGGTTAAAGTACTAACACACATAATATAGAACCTAAACTAAGTTACCCAAGCAATCTTGATCTTCAATATGCTTGACTTGGTACACTTTGCGGATGAAGCTTGAACTTGAATCTTTAACTTGAATTGCAAGGCTTCACTCCACTATTCCGCCAACCTCCATTGGATTTGATCGTTAATGCTCGATTCCATCCATCCTCCAACTTGTTGTTTGTCTACAATAAATAAGAAAACACAAATACTAGATAAACAACAATTCCATCCATCCTCCAACTTGTTGTTTGTCTACAATAAATAAGAAAACACAAATACTAGATAAACAACATTAGTGGTAAATTGTTTGTTAAACATCACAAATACTAGATAAACAACATTAGTGGTAAATTGTTTGTTAAACATCATCAAAACAAAGAGGCCAACAATTATATTCATTTATTGTGTCAATATGATATCCATTTCAGTGAATATTTTTAAAGGTTAATAAATATTTTTGAGACTTGCTAGAGAATAAAAATTGTTATATGTAATAAACTTTTCCCTTTAGGGAATAGTAAAATAGTTCTTCCAGAGCCTTCAATTAGTTTTGTACCTCCGGATATTGTATTAACATTCACCTCTCCCATTATCAAATGAGAAAAATATATCTTATCTTTAAGTATGGCATGCATTGTTGCACTATCTATAAGACACATATCTTCATGATTGGTCTTGAATCCAATTAAAGACTTAGAAATATCCATATTTTTCTTCATGAAACGAAGGTAAAATATTTTTTAAGAAATATCGTCAATGAACATAGGATGTTAACATATTTAAAGTTTCATATTAAACTCATATGAAATCATATAGTAAGTACAAAAACTAGAGGATAACTTTAGTTATTCTAGACATTCCCTTCACCAATTAAGTGATTAATTCTATCTTTAGGGTTTTTGAAGAAATTAGCCACATCCAAATGTGTTATACTAGCAAGATCATCGTGGTGAGAATCTTCATTTGGCTAGGCAAAATTTTCCTCTACATCTTTTCTTTTTTTTTCTTTTGTGTTGATTGATATAGCTCAACAAACTATCTTGGTGTACGACAAGTATGTTACCAATGTCTTTCATGCTGCAACAATAACATATATTTTCTAACTCATTGAATGCTTATTTTGTTCGCTTTTACCATTCTCTTTAATATTATCCACTTCTGGTGCTAAGATTTGTTCTTGTGATTGGAAGAGTTGTTATTATTACCACTACGGTCACAATACTTATTCAAATCTCGGGCGCATCCACGATCATGACTATGACCTCATCCAAGCCCATTATTATTAAATATTATTGGATTCACTTTAGGGAGGGGAGCAGAGCCAACTGGACGAGCTTCATGGTCTTTCATTAATAGCTTAATGTTTTGCTTAGCGACAAGAAGTGATGAAATTAATTTAGAGTATTTCTTGAAACTTTTCTCTCAATATTGTTACTGTAGGAGCACATTTGAGGCATGAGAAGTAGAGAATATTTTCTTTAGCATATCCTCATCCGCACAACTTTAATTGAAAGGTAATTTTAAGCAGTGTGGAGTTATATTCACTCCCAACCTTAAGATCTTGTAGCCTTGAATGCATCCAATCATAACGAGCTTTTGGAAGTATTACAGTTTCTTAATGGTCTTACCTTTCCTTTAAACTTTTCCGAAGAACAAGTAGATCTTTCACTTAAGATATTTAGTTGATCTTTCACTGTAAGATATTTAGTTTTTAATCTCTTGCAAAGATGGTAAACGTGAATACCTTAATTGAAGTACATTACGGACATTCATTTAATAGTTTCATAACAATTTCCTCTTTTGTTTTCCTTCTTATAATCATAGTGTACTAAACAAAAAAAAAATTTAGATTTTTTTTTCGATAACCTACTCTGAAATTGAACCCAAGACCTCAAAGAGCTACACTTGAATCCTTTCAGCCCTACAAGTTAAGGGACAACCGGATGAATCGCACAGACCCTTAAGAGCACTCAATTTCTAAACAACACAACTCACAAGCCTCACCTGCGAAAGCAGCATCAGAAACCCTCCTCGTCGCTCGGACACTTCATATCCAAACCATGCGATCTCTGCCAAAGCGCCAAAGTCATTCCCTCCCAGGCCCCTCTTACCTAAAATTCTGCTGCTCCTCATCTCCTTGGTACTCTCCTCCACCCCCACTTCCATCCACATCAGACCCCCTCCTCCTCGCCATCTCCAATGCCATCAAGAACATCCCCAACTCGGACCCCACTCTCCACCTCCCTCAAGCCCTACCTCCCCTCCCTCACCCTTCCCTCCTCACCTCCGTCCTCTCCCTCTCCCTCTCTCCCTCCCCCCTCTCCTCTCCTCCTCCTTCTTCCACTCCCTCCCCTCCCTCCTCCCCCGCTTCCGCCACACCCCTCTCTCCTACCTCTCCATGTCCCACCTCCTCCTCCTCCACCGCCTCCCCTCCTGCTCGCTCCCCTCCTCCGCCTCCTCGTCTCGCGCAAGGGCATCAACTCCTCCGCCGCCTCTTCTCCACCGCCCTCTCCTCTCTCCCTCCCCCACCCTCCCCTCTTCTCCTCCCTCTCCAGGCCTAACGCCGAATCCGACATCCCCGACGCCATCCAGTGCTTCCGCCTAGCCCGGGCCCACCGCATCCCCCTCCTCCCTTTCAAGCATGTTTGTTCGGTTATTCTCGATGCATTGATGAATTCGGGTAATGGCTCGATGGAAGGCGCGTGGGCGTTCTATTCGGGGTTTCTTGATGCTGGGTTTGCTCCTGATGTGCTTGTTTTCAATAGGATCATGCATGGCTTTGTGAAGGAAGGGAAGGTGAGGAGGCGGGGCGTTTTTGATGGATTTCGCGTGCTGGGTTGGGGCCCGAGTGTGGTTAGTTTTAACACCTGTGATCTGTAGAATTGGGGATTTGCGTGCGGCGTTTGGTATGAAGAGGGAGATGGTGGGGAGTGGAGTTTGTCCTGATGTGTTTACTTGTACCCTTTTGATTAAGGGGTTATGTAGGGTTGGGAGGTTGGAGAATGCACTCAAGGTGTTTGCTGAAATGTTGGTAAGAGGACTGTTGCCGAACAAGGTGACCTTTACGATTTTGATCGATGGGTATTGTAAAGATGGGAAGGTTGAGATTGGAATGGAGGTTTATAGGGAGATGTTGAGGCGAGGGGTCGAGCCTGATCTGATTGTGTTTAATGCTATTGTGAATGGTCTTTGCAAGGTTAGAGATCTGAGGGAGGCTAATAGGCTTGTGGAGGAAATGAGGCGGAGAGGTCTGAAGCCTGATAAAGTCACTTATACTACTCTAATTGATGGGTGTTGTAAGGAGGGGGATTTGGAGATCGCAGTCAAGATTAAAAGGAAGATGATGGCTGAGGCGGTTGAGTTAGATGATGTGGCTTATACTGCACTTATATCAGGATTGAGTAGAGAAGGGCAAGTGATTGATGCAGAGAGGACTTTGTACGAGATGGAGAGAGCTGGGTTGATCCCTGATGAGATGACTTATACTATGATCATTGATGCATTTTGTAGGAAAGGGGATGTTAAAAATGGTTTTAAAATGTTGAAGAAGATGCAGACTGATGGTAGATCTCCGGGGGTTGTGACATATAATGTGATTATGAATGGGCTTTGCAAGCTTGGTCAGATGAAGAATGCCAACATGCTGTTAAATGCTATGATTAATGTTGGCGTTGTTCCAGATGACATTACTTACAATATTCTTTTGGATGGGCATTGTAAGCATGGAGGAGTTGACAAGGAGGAACTAAAGGGTGAAAAGGGAATGGTCTCAGATTTTGCGACTTACACTTCACTTGTTAATGAATTTGTTAAAAGTCCTAAGAAACGACAAAGTTCATAACACATTACATATAATATGTTTGTTTTCTGGACTTGTGGGTTTTCAAGGCCATACAAGAATAAGGCTCCTCAGGTGGAGATGCAACCAAAAGTTTCATATAGATAGCACATCACAGGAAACCTGTTCGCAGTACAAGATGTATGCAGTTCATTTGGATTCATGATCAAGAGCAGACATAAGTGCCTTTAATTTCGTTCAAGATTATTTAAGTCAACTATTCGTTCATTAAATTTGCCGTTTGTATATTACCTTGTAGGTTTACCAAAGCTGAAAAGAATTGAGAGTTGCTGAAGTTAGATCAGGTGTACTTTTGAGAGATACAGATCCACTTCTCATGGACTATCATCTTTGCTTCTAAGTTCTAACATATTGACTATTCTATGCTGAACTTGATCGAGGTGAAATTTTTGTTTATAGTATCACATAAGGAGATGCCTCTCACCAGTCTACCCGTTTAGCCACCATATGCTATGGCCGTGATTCCATGTAAGTGCCATTTATACTCCTTGACCCTTTATGGATGACTAAACATAGTGAGCTGTTTCAGTTAGTAGCTTTTTTTTCTATCAGTTGCTTATGAATATGAGGGTTTCTTTGAGATAAATATTCAAGAATACATGATTTTCGATCTTAATTTTCTCCTGACATGGCATCTACTTCTATGCTATGTCAGTGAAGATGCTAGTTTTGTGGATATCTTCACCAAAAGACATTTCCCACAACATGCTATGGAGGTTATATACATATTTTCAACTATCTAGTAACTACAACCTTAATGAAAGTACTCTAGACGTCCTCTTAAAGTTACTTGCAAGGGGTGATAAAACTAGGAGCCAAGTATATCTCGCTTCTTACAAATGTAAATGCATTAAAAAATTAAAAAATAAACATAAGAGCATAAGAGATCCATAGTTGTGCTAGATTCTCCAACATAACATTTCATGATTCAGTCAATGAGTGCACCCAATTTCAGTTTCATTTCATGTCATTAACAAGAAAGAAATAATCAGTTAATTTACAAAAGCATAAGATGAATAAGGATGCAATAATACTAGGAAAATATTAAAAGAGAATGTATAAATTATTTATCTTAGGTACCTTATTATCAATCATTTGTGCAAACTGCCTCTACATTGTCAGGCTTAAGAGCACTACGCCTATTGGTGAAGAATTGTGCAACTCACACCGAGGGTACTCTCAGAAGCAACCGAAAAAGTTGGGCTGCGATCATGTCCTTTGCTAAAAAAGAGAGCTCTCAATATCTCTGTATTGATTAGTCTTTCAAGATGAAAGAATATCAAGTGGAACACTATGATCAAGTCTGTACGTTTCTGAAGATTTAAGAAATTCCAACTTTCAAATATGTCAAACTCCTATAATGTAAAAACTGGAGAGAAGAAATGCATATTAAAGTTATGAAAACTATAAGATAAAGTGGAATACTAATAAACTGAGAAAGAGATTACACTCAAGACACTTATACGATATTTGTCAAAGATGATATCTATGAAAAGTTCCCTCCTTCCTTGAGCTTTTAACCTCTCTTGTTTTATTAATCTCTATATTGCTCACATACTCATTGAACATAGAGGTGTATCTTATGTTGTTTAACATTCTAAAATTTCGTCAATATAATATTTTATAGAAAACTTTAACAAATGTACTTGGTGTTGAAGAAATTGCTTATGGCCGGAACAAATCTGAAGTTGTGCGAACTGCCGAGGCGTGTAATCACTGTCCTTAAGAAAAGATTTTGCCCCTCGGTGCAAAAGGCTGCAGTGACGTCTTTCCTCATAGGATTCAACGGCAGACAACAGGTTAAGGTGCACTCCAATAACATGTTCTACAAAGAACAGCAACTATCTTTCTCTGATAGGAAAGAAGATAGAGCACAAAGATTTTTCAGTGTTATCAATTGAGGAGATCAAGTCTCTATTTATAGATGAACCATGTTGGAATACCAAAGGTTAAACTACATTGAGAACACTAAAGGTTAAACCACGTTAGGAACATCAAAGTTTAAATCATGTTGGGAACACCAAAGGTTGAAAAACATTGGGAACATCAAAGGTTAAAAAATATTGAGAACACCAAAGGTTAAAAAAAAATAACAAACTTTTTTTTTGTGTATTTGAAATACACAACAATCCCTCACTATTTCAAAATACACAAAACTCAACATCATTTGGAACCAAGAATAACAAAGGAAATGTCAGTGAGAATCGAAGATACAATGCATAAGAAATATGGTAGAATAAATTCTTTGAACCAATATCCCTTGAGCGTGAAATAGAGGACTCATGCCTACACTGTACCTTCATTATATTGTTGTTCATGCGGGAGTGCGCTATTTTGGCCTTGCGCTTCCTGTGCTTCATGAGTGCTCTAGAGTACATGCCTAGGTACCCATAAGAGCCGACCCAGTTCTACACTCGCATAGGTGGATATCCTTCAAGTGTGTATAAAATACATCGTCACAAATTGGGCTTATGGACTCTCCATTAAGAGCTTAACTCATCCTTTCTCAGTTTATCAAGTACTACATGAATATATGAAAATATACTATATGTATATAATGTACTATCTCACCATAGGTAGGGACGTCTCGTAGAGAAATCGATACTACAGTCAGAACAAGGAAATCGAGACTACAGTCAGAACAAGGAGTGACTTGTTTTTCCCTTTGAACCTACTTCATAGGATCAATAATCACGTAGGTAGGGTTGCCGCTAATCTTGCTCTATTTATTACGCAGTAGTCCCATTTCTCTCGATGTAATTTCCATTTGCCTCCTATTAAGTGGTTTCGTCAGAGGATCGACCAAATTTAATTCTAACTTCACATAATATAGAGTTACAACTCCAAATCGTAATAACTGCTTAATACTTACGTGTCTTAAACGTATGTGTCTACTTTTTCCATTATATATATTACTCTTGGCTTTTGCAATTGCGGCCTGACAGTCACAATACATAGACATAGAAGGATACAGTGTAGAATCAATGGGAAGATCTGCTAAAAGGTTTCTCAACCATTCAGCCTCAACACATGCCTTATTTACAGCAACTAACTCGGATTTCATGGTAGATCGAGTTATTAAGTTTTGCTTGAATGATTTTCAAGACACTGCACCCCCACCAAGGGTAAACACATAACCACTAGTGGACTTGATCTCTTGTGAATCTGAGATCCAGTTTGCATCACAATACCCTTCTAATACTGGTGGAGACTTTCCAAATCTTAGTGCATAATTAATGGTGCCTTTCAAGTACTTGATCAACCTTTCTAAGGCTGACCAATGTTCCTAACTAGGACACTGGGTGTATCTACTTAATCTGCCCACTAAATAAGCTATGTCAGGCCTTGTACAATTCATCAAGTACAAAAGAATTCTAATAATTTCGGCATATTTGGGTTGTGAAACACTATATGAATTGTTTTTCTTAAGTTGAACATTTGCCTCATAAGGTGTCGACACAGGCTTACTATCATAATATTCAAACTTTTTCAAAACTTTTTCCATATGACGTTCTTTAGTCAAAGTGAAACCATCTGTATTTTTAAGGATTTTAATCTCAAGAATTGCATCAGCTTCTTCCAGATCTTTCATATCAAACTGGGAGGATAAATTTTTTTTTGCTTCACTTATTAATTAAAGACTAGGGCTCAAAATGAGCATATCATCCACATAAAGACAAATAATGACATACTAATGATTCTCAAATGTTTTTAAGTAAACAAACTTATTTGCATCATGTATATGATAACCATTAGATAACAATGCATTATAAAAATTTTCATGTCATTGTTTAGGCGCTTGTTTCAACCCATATAAAGACTTAATTAATTTGCATGCTTTTTGCTCATTTCTTGGTACGATAGTACCCTCAGGTTGATTCATACATATTTTTTCATCTAGATCGCCATACAGAAAAGCTGTCTTGACATCCATTTGATGAACAAAGAAATTATGAATTGCTGTCAAAGACATTAGAACTATAATAGAAGAGATTCTAGTTACAGGAGCAAAAGTATCACAATAATCTATGTCTTTCTTCTGGGTGAACCTGTTAGCTACCAACCTTGCCTGATACTTTTCAACCGAACAATCAACTTTAAGCTTTCTTTTGAAGATCCACTTACAACCTATAGGTTTAGCACCATGTGGCAAATAAACCACCTCCCAAGTATGATTGGATATGATAGAATTCATTTCAGAATTGATCGCATCCTTCCAAAATGGTGCATCTCTGGAGCATATTGCTTCATTATAGGTAACTGGATCATTATCCAAAAGAAATGTGTAAAAGTTATCACCAAAATTGGTGGATTTTCTCTCTCTTTTACTCCTTTGAATTTCTATTTCAGAATATTCGGGATTTTGTTGTGAGTCTTCACAAACCACTTCTTGTGAGTCCTTATAAACCTTTGATTTTTTAAACCTATTTTACATAGAAAAATATCTTCAAAAAAATCAACATTTTTACTTTCAATAATAGTATTTTCAGATACTAGATTATTGTTACTTTTGATAACAAGAAATTTACAAGCAACACTATTTTGAGCATAACCTAAGAATATGCAATCTATAGTTCTAGGTCTTAATTTTCTCTTCATAGGTTCATTCACATGGACTTTGGCAAGGCGCCCCCACACTTTGAAATATTTTAGGCTAGATGTATAGCCTTTCCATAATTCATATGGTGTCTTTCCAATTTTCTTATGGAATATCCTATTCTGAATGTGACATGCAGACATAATAGCTTCCCCCCACAAGTTCAATGGAGCACCTGCACTCACAAGCATGACATTCATCATTTCCTTAAAGGTTCTATTTTTTCTTTCAACGACTCCATTAGATTCCGGAGAATATGGAGGAGTGGTCTCATGTATGATGCCATGTTTATCGCAAAATCCTGAAACGGATTTGATTCATATTCTCCTCCTCATTCTGACCTAAGTCTCTTTATCTTACGGTTAAGTTAGTTTTCAACTTCTGCTTTATATTTCAAAAACATGTCTCCCGCCTCATTCTTGTTTCTTAGAAGATAAAACTTTTGTATACCTAGAGAAGTCATCTATAAATGTAATATAGTAAAACTTTCCTCCTCTAGACATAGTACTCCTAAATTCACCAAGATCAGTATGAATAAGGGTAAGCAACTCAGTTTTATCTCTAGAAACAGATAGTACTCCTAAATTCACCAAGATCAGTATGAATAAGGGTAAGCAACTCAGTTTTATCTCTAGAAACAGGTTTGCAAGGTTTATTTATGAATTTTGTTTAAGCACATTTTTCACATTTATCAAAATTGATATTAGCAAATTCAGACAATAATCCACATGCTTTCATCCGTTTTAAGTATTGAACATTAACATGTCCTAATCTACTATGCCACATTTCTAAGGAATTAAGCAAGTAAGCAGAAGAAGATTTTTCATTTATAACATCAAGAATATTCAAAACAAATAGTCCCTGATTATAGTAACTCTTATCAATGAAAGTATCACTCTTACTTACACAAACTTATTGATAATCACATTTTATTATAATTTTATACCATTATTATCTATTTTACATGAATATGTATACCATTAATAATTGTTTTTATCTTAAATTTTAGGTTAATGATGAAATAATGAATAAAAGCCCAAAAGTCCCTAATGTTCTCATTTTGTAACATTTTATTAAAGCCTAGAATCAAGCCGAGTAGCCTATAGAAGTCGAAGAAAATAAAAAATCCAATATGAAAATAAATCATATTCAAGATGGTTGGCCGTAAAGAAACAGCGATATCTCTCAATCTGAAAGACGGAATTTAACATATAATATATGAAAATCACCTATCTCGATGAGACGAAGTTATCTGTGAAGTCAGAATTTGGATACAAAGGGCATCCATAGGGGCATCGATGGGGGCATCAATGCTAGCATTGATACTAGCATCGATGCAGTTTTCCTGTAGCGAGATTAATGTCTGATTTTGAGTGGCTTGGGGCTCAAGTCTAATCCAATGGCTCTCATTCTTTGTTGTAAGCTATAAATAGGGGTAGAGAGTGAGGGGTTGAGGGTGTAAAAAATTTTATAACTCTATTTGGAGAGGAGGGTTACTCTTAATTGAGAAGACTTTCTAAAATTATAACTTTTTATTGTAATTAATAAAAGAATTTTTTTCACCTCTTTGTATTTTTCTTTTTTTCTCTTTATTTGATTATGAAGATGAAGATGGAGATGAAGATGAAGATCAAGATGTAGGTTTGTTTTTGCCTTGAGGCTAGAACCCTCTCGGGATGTAAATTTTATCTTTGTTAATATTTTATCTTTTTGCTTTATTTTCTTATTAAATAGCCAAGAGGCTAGAACCCTCTTGCATTAGATTTATTTTCATGCTTATAGAGTAGATTTACTTTCATTTTCTTGTATTTAATTCTTACAATTTATTTTGTAGTTTAGTACTAGCAATTTATTTTGCAGTTTAGTTTTTTATTTTTTTGTACTATTCGTCTTGAGACTGGAACCCTGTTGTGATTAGTTTTTATTTTATATAATTTTTATTTTCTTTAATTCGCCTTAAAGATAGAACCCTCTAGGGAATTGCCTTTTCTTTTGATGTGGAACTAATACTCGTAGGATTCTTGTAATTGCATGAAACTAGCTTTATTTTTTTATAATTTGTTAATCATTGTCTTATGTTTAAAATGTTCATGTTTAGGATATTCAACTAAAGAAGTAATTGGTAGAAGGAATTCTAGAATTACTATTTAGTTGTTATTCTTTTCATGAGTAATAATTTTATTTGGATGATAATTTGATATGTTATATTTTCCTTGAGTGGTTTGATAATTTATACTTAATAAATCTAAAGTAGAATATGATAAAAAGAGAATGATTCACATTTTATAAGTGAGATTAGCTAGTGAATTCAATTCTAGATTCCTCATATCTTTAATTGAATCCTCCATCTTTTACTTTCTTATTTTTTTCCCTTTAATTCTTAATTTTTCTTTTATTGGTCTTGATTTTATTTCCTTCATCTTTCTTTCTTTCCTTTTTGATTACATTAATTCTTTTTATCACATCCACTCTTTATCTATCCATTCTCAACCTCATTTTGTGCTTGTTCACATACAATCGCTCTCTCTATCTCTCCATAATCACATTCATCACTCCTAATTGTCACACACACTACATAAGAACTGATTCTAATTATTTCTTACAAACACCTTCCTCGTGGGATCGATAACTTTTTATATTATAACTTGATTGGTTGTGCACTTACAACTTTTGGACATCATTTATATCAGTCTCAAAAGCCACCTTAATACCAACTTTTTGCAACAAAGAAACAGATATCAAGTTTGAGCGAATTTCAGGAATATGCAAGACATTAGTCAAAGCAAGTGTTTTACCCGAAGCCAACTTGAGATAGATCTTTCCTTTCCCTTTGACAGGAACATGACAAGAGTCTCCCATGCAGACTTGTTCTTCTCCATCCTTGACTTTAATGTATGCTGAGAAGGCTAATTCATCATTACAAATATGGCGAGTAGCTCCAGAGTCTACCACCCAGTTCTTCTCCTCAGCAGCCAGATTAACTTCAGAGACAACAGCAACGAAAACATTGTTGTACAAAGCGGAAATTTCGACAGAGTTTCTGGTGCACAATAAGAGAGAAAGATTGCAATAAGAATTTCCGTCTCACCAAGGAAATAAGAAACTGAAACGAATATCTCAACAAAGTGAGATATCATCTCTTCATCTCATCAATTTTAGGACTGACCTGTCGAGGGAACATAATAAACTATTATAATGTTACGACATGAACAATCAATTTTAACATGGTTAGACAAATTGCCTACGTCCACGAGGCAAGGAGGGGGAGATCTACTATTAGAGGAATAGAATACAAATGGGTTTACAATCACACAACTTAAACCCTCAAACAATATCTTAAATCTCTCACAATCACTCTCCTCTTGATCTGAAAAAACACTCTGTTTTCTTCTCAAAAGGACAGCCGCCACTCTGCAATTTTCTCCTCTGTCTGTCGACTTTCCCCTTAGCACTTGCACAGCCGAAAACCCTCTGCCTACTTTTCCTCCTTGCACAAAACCCTACGAGAAAAGCTTGTTATTTATGCAAGTGAATCGGGTGGGCCTTGGCTGTCTCACACGGTAAAAGATCACACGTAGGTGTAGCCCCCATTCACTTAGCCTCCCATGCGTTCACTTGCTCACGTACTTTACCCAGCTCATGTTCACTTGCTCATACGCTTTGCCCAGCACGTGGGCCCCACTCACAATTCTCCACCTCGGTGAAGTTTCTTCCAAAACTAAGCCGACACAAAAACATCCAAATGTCCCACTTATTATGTCTCGTACGTCGTGAAGTTAATTCATGACAACTGACTCAATCCACAACAAGTCGGGGACCCAAACGAGAGTCCAAACAATCTCACCCCCATCAAAATCAACTAATCCAAACCGGCTGCATCGTAAAGACTGCCTACGTATCCTCTTGCCCAAGGAATCAAGCCTCACGTAGTTCACCCAAATGGCCTCCAAAGGCTCTCAATCCAATAGAAGAGTTCGCAACCCTCCTCCAATATCATCAATTCTGGGGCTGATAGCACCTCCAATGGCCTCAAAGTGTAACGAATCAAACACTTTCACCATAGGTGAACCAATGGCCATATCCAACTGCGAACTATGTCTACCAGCTGCATTCGAATCCAAAAACAAATCATCTGCATCTAAATCCAAATGATCTCCAAGCCGTGTCACCTCAGCTGGAATCCCAAATAATACAATATGATCTGGAGTATATGGAGTAATCTCCACCCAATGTGGGGTAGCATCACTCTCCACCCGCTGGTATACATCTAAGGTCTGTCTAAAACTCTCCACCCGCTGAGAGTCAAATAGCTCCCTCATCGAAGCCTCAACCGAAGTGGCACTACCAGACCAAACACCCAATTGAGTTTTACCTCCTATCGTAGCAGTTGACAACTCTTTAATAAGATGGATCGAATATGTCGAAGCCTCGGTCCAAAAACTCTTCTGCAGACCATTGCTTGACAACAAACACCGATCCTCCTCCAGCAATGCACGGCTCTCCAAATTTGCCACTCTATCTAATTGCCCTAAGATTTTCTTTCCAACAAAGTGACTCGAAATGCCGTAAGCTCGACTCCAATACAGAAACAGGTCCATCTTGTACCTTCCACCAAAACCAGAATGAAGTCGATTCACCTTTCTACTAATCTCACACTTCTTCAATCTGTTAGAGACTACTAGGACTTTCTCCAATGGGGATTTGGTTACAACCCAAATATGCCTAGAATAGTCACCAACAAAAGAAACCAAACATTTATTACCTCCCAATGATGCCCCCTTGGAAGGTCCTCAAACATCCACGTGAATACCTTCAGAACGATCCTTAGCACGGTGAATAGAGGTGCCAAACTTCACCTCGGTCTTCTTGCTCACATCAACATGTTCACTGGACTTCAAACTGCAGGTCTTCACACCCTCTTTCAATTTATGCAAGGAATCAATACTGGAATATCCAAGCCCCAAATGTTGCAGTCTAGTCGAATCAATAGAAGTTACCACTTCTCCACCTGCCAGTATACCTTCAGTCAAGTAATACATGTTATTCCTCCTGACGCCCTTCATCACAATCTGAGAGTCTTCCACAATCTTGAGAACCATGTCCTCAATTCAAATATTCAGACCCTCTCCAACCAAAGCTCCAATCGAGATCAAGTTCTTCCTTAAGGAAGGAACATATCTCACATCATATAACTCCCTAACAGTCCCGTCAAACATCTTGATACGAATTCTTCCTATCCCAAGGATCTGGCATGTACGGTTATCAGCCATGTATACCACACCACTATCCAGCTTCTCAAAACTGGAAAACCATTCCCTTCTAGGACACACATGATAGGTCGTACCACTATCCAACATCCATTCAGATTCCTCTGAATAGCTATCTGTAGGACTACTGATAGAAAGCAAATAAATAGAAGAGTCAAAAATATTACCATCTGATATAACAATGTTTTCTTCTCATAAATGTTGCTTCCCTTTTCCCTTCTGCTTATTCTTCATCAATTCGTCGAGCTTTAGGCAGTCTTTCTTCCAATGACTAGTCTCCTTGCACCAAGCACACTGATCTTTTCCATTGTAGGATGTCCTATTCTAGACTGTGACTTCCAGTTCTTCCGGTTTGGACCCTTCCCTCTTGCAGCCAACGCCTCTACTACAGGCTCAACTGAAGCCTCATTATCCTTCTTTCAAAGCTGATAATTCACAAGTACAGCAGTCACCTCACTATACGAAAGAGAAGCCTTCCCATTAATCAGAGTAAGAACGAAGGTCTCATATTCCTCGTCGGGCAAAAAACTCAATAATAGCAACACTTTGTCCTCATCTTCAATCATGACATCCACATTCGTCAAATCTGTAAGAAGCTTTGTGTAGGTGTTCATGTGATCACTAATTGAGGTTCCCTTCTTCAACTGGAAATGATAAAGTCTCCTCTTCAAATGTAAGCAGTTCTCAACACTCTTTGTCAGATACTTGCTTTCAAAAATCTCCTAAATCTTCTTCGCAGAAGTCTCATTCATCACATCATATTTTAGATCTTGAGTCAAACAAGACCTAATCACACCACACGTTATTCGATTCATCTTCTTCTAAACCTTCTCTTCAATATCATCTGGCTTGCCATCTAACTCTAATATATCCTCCAAATTCTGCGCGTTCAGCGCATCCAAAATCTCGCATCTTCATAATCCAAAGTTATTTGTGCCATTAAACTTTTCCACATCTATCTTCATAGAGTGGATATTCAAACTCTGAATGGTCTTCGTACCAGAATCACCACCCTCGACACCCGAAGCACTTTCTATCCTCGACATCTTACTCAACGCACCAACGAATGAAGAATAGATCCAAAACTGAAAAGATAGAGTCTTTACCAAAATATCCAACCTTTATCACCAAACAAAGCGCTAGACGAGTTTTCAAATCGATCTACTCCTCTAACCAAAACAAAAAACCCTAGATCTGAATCTGGGCTCCGATACCACTTGTTGTGCGTAGTGGAAATTTCAACAGAGTTTCTAGTACACAATAATAGAGAAAGATCGCAATAAGAATTCTCGTCTCACCAAGGAAACAAGAATCTGAAGAGAATATCTCAACAAAGTGAGATATTAGCTCATTCTCTCATCAGTTCTAGGACTGACCTGTCGAGGGAACCTAATAAACTATTACAATGTCACGATACGAACAATCAATTTTAACGTGGTTCGGCAAATTGCCTACGTCCACGGGAAAAGTAGGGGGAAGATCTACTATTAGAGAAAGAGAATACAAATGTATTTATAATCACACAACTTAAACCCTCAAACAATATCTTAAATCTCTCACAATCACTCTCTTCTTGATCTGAAAAAACACTATGTTTTCTTCTCAAAAGGACAGCCGCCACTCTGTAATTTTCTCCTCTGTCTGCCGACTTTCCCCCTGGCACTTGCACAGCCGAAAACCCTCTGCCAACTTTTCCTCCTTGCACAAAACCCTAGGAGAAAAGCTTGTTATTTATGCAAGTGAATTGAGCGGGCCTTGGCTTTCTCACGTAAAAAAAGATCACACGTAGGTGTGACCCCTATTCACTTAGTGTAGGTGTAAATTTTGATCTCCCGAAACAGAGATTTCGTTTGTATTGATAAGAATAGCTTATTACAAACTAATGAATCAAAATTATAACAGAAGTGGAGGGAATGCCCTCCTTGTTTAACGTGGGGACTTTTGGTAGCTATAGGACGCATCGCTTGGTTCTCGCACCGGGTCCGCTTCCCTTGGACGATTCGACCGAGGTTGCTGGCGAGCTTCAGTACGCAGTAGGATCTCGGGTTGGTAGAGTTCGAATCTCCTGAGTTCTCAAACGGCGATCGGAGCCGAGAACCGAGGGTCAATGGTTTGATTAACTGATTGATTCAGTCAAAGGGATTCTGGACGAATCGCTCTTTAATTGTTCTTATGAACTTTTCAATCTCGAACCCTTTTCCTGTTACAGGAGAGGTTCTTAAATAGAGGGAGAAACGGCGTGGCTGCTCCCTGAATCATGGGATGTGATCATGTACTGTTAGGAAATGCCATGCCTTTTGCTTGTACCATGAGCGGCTGCTTGATGGGCTCGGAGCACTGTACTCCTTCCCTTCACGTCGTGAGGAGTGGGAAAGCCCATCCTTGTACATGCTGTTGCAGCTGCCAGGTACTAGTTCGGCGAGCTTGTTGATCGCAGGCGGATTCAGCTCTTGACTCGTGCAGGCGAGGTGAGCTTCAATCGTGAGCATGCAGGCGGACTTGGCGACTGCATGGATTTGACTGGTCGCTCGTACTGTGAGCGGCTACTTGATGGGCTCGAAGCATTGTACTCCTTCCCTTCACGTCGTGAGGAGCAGGAAAGTCCATCCTTGTACGTAGCGTAGCGGCTGCTGAGTATACTGGTGATCCTAAAGTTCGTAGGCGAATTCGACTTTCGAGTCGAGCGGGCGAGTCGAGTAAACAGGCAAATTTTAGTCATTTGGATGATCTTGACTCGTGCGGGTGAGTCGATCATACAGGCGAATGTCAGTCATCTGGATGATCTTAACTCGTGCGGGCGAGTCGAGTAAACAGGCGAATGTCAGTCATCTGGATGATCCTGACTCGTGCGGGCGAGTCGAATAAATAGGCGAATCTGTGATCAACAAATGCGAGCGAATTTGGCGACCGCGTGGTTTGGGTTTGCGCTAGTGAGTCAAGCCCATGGGTGAGCCCTACCCTCAAATTGTGTGGGCGACTCCGACTCGCAGGCGAATTTCACGTAAGTCTGCAAATGTAATTTTTACCGTCTACACTTAGCCTCACACACGTTCACTTGCTCACGCGCTTTACCCAGCTCGCGTTCACTTGTTCACGCGCTTTGCCCGGCACGTGGTCCCTACTCACAAACATCTCCTTGAGCAAAATTTGCTTTCGGAGGATTTTTGTTGTCGTCTTTGTCTCTGTTATTATCTTTTTTGTACCTGTACTGAAAAGCCTGGTGTCCCGGTTTGCCAAACACATAGCAATTACCATTACTTTTCTTCTTGACGGTACTTCAATTAACCTTCAAGTCCTTTTGATTTTTGTTAAATGGCTTCTTTTTGTTCTTATTGAACTTGTTGCTGGGTTTATCTTCAACAATATTAGCTTTGGAATCAAATTCCTTAGCTAAATTAACATTTGAGCCCTATTCTTTTCCTCTATAGGATGTGAACAATCACATCTTCAAGAGACATTTGTTTCCGTTTGTGTTTCACACAATTTTTGTAATAATCCCAGGACTCGGGGAGTTTTTCGACCAAACATCCCGCAATAAAGGAATCAGATAAGATAATTCCCTCAATTTTTAAATCACTTATAAGTATATGAAAATCATGAATTTGAGCGGAGACTTTTTTCTCTTTATTCATCTGGAATTTTAGAAAACTGCCTATAGCATATTTCTGTGTACCAGCATCTTCGATGATATACTTGTTTGTCATTTTCCCCATATTTCATATGCATTCTTATAGGAACAGTAAATATCGAAGAACTCATTTGATAAGGTAGATAGCATGGTATGACGACATACCTTGCCATCTTTCTGCCAAGCCACTAGTTTTTCTTCATAATCTACTGAACGTGATAGAGGTTCCTTTTCGGTGAGATATTCAGCATAGTTGAGAACGTCAAGGGCATCAAAAACTCTTTCCTTCCAACGCTTGAAATGATCTCCCTGGAACTGTTCAGTCTTCGACGTATTTGGGAGAAGTCACCCAGATAAAAAATTTCTCCTACGAAACGATGGTCGAGACTCTATTGAAGTTTGTAGTTGTAGCATCGAGGTTGATGGAACCATTTTATGATACAACCATTGGACTGATCATTTCTTAAGATTATTGAAGAAATTGCTTATGACTGGAACAAATCACAAGGTGTACGAACTGCCGAGGCGTGTAATCGCTGTCCTTAAGAAAAGATTTCTCCCCTTCTCGGTGCAAAAGGTTGGAGTGGCGTCTTTCCTCACAAGATTCAACGGCAGAAGGTGCACTCCAATAACCTATTCTACAAAGAACAAATATCTCTCTCTAATAGGAAGGAAGATAGAGCATAAATGTTTTTTAGTGTTA